CCCCCCCCCCCCCCCCGCCCTGCTCTTTGATACGCCCCTCCCTTCGTGTCTCATGAGCACCCCTCCCTGCCGATCTTTGACACGCCCTTCGTTTTATCACCTGTGCGAAGAGCGTGGTGAACTCTTTGACTCGTCCGAGGACAGAAGCCACCAGCCCCGCCACCGCCGCCCTGAGGGCTAGATCCGCCGCCGTGGGTATGTACATGCCGACGATAGACTCGGTCAGAGTGCCGGCACCGCCTGAGATCCCCCTCCTCGAAGCCTGCTTGTTGGGTTGGGGTTTTTGGACGGGTGTTGGACAGAGTTTTGTGACATGGTGGATCGGTGGATGGTGCAGTGCATGTTATGCATAGTTTTATCAAAAGAAAAACGAAGGCGTGCCGTTGATGGAAAGTTGATTGTTAGAGAGACCAAAAATTGAGTTATCCGTGTTTTCCGAGAAGGCGCAGTACAGCAGTAGTAATGGTGCCGGTATAATGCCGGTTGCCCTGGTAGTACAATGCCGGCTAAAGCGGCTGGCACAGATGGAATATTCAAGTTGTCTCATGCTCTGATGAATGCCGGTTGCCCGCTGTAATGCCGGCGAAACTCGGCCGGATCGCACGGCACGCCATGGGTGGGTGGTGGCATGCCCTGCTAGCTTTTGAAAGCATGACGGCGCTCCGTAGTTTCAAAGTCGGCTGGTAAAGACCGAAAAAGATACAATTGTATTGAAAAATGAAATGCGTGCTTTATAGTGTTCCAAAACAAACGAAGGCGCGCCGTGGATTCAAGGTCGATTGGCGATTAGTGGAGCCCAAAATGGACATCATTGGTGTTTCCTGGGGGGCTTGCAGTAATGCTGCACCAGCAGGAGGCCACAATGTACTGCTGCGAACCCATCGCGACTTGCTGCTGGGATTCTTGGGGACGACGGCCACAAATGCCCATACTCTGTTGCAGAAGGGGGCCAACTAAGAAAACACACGTAAAGTACTAAATATGAAGACACAAAGGCAAAGACGAAAACAAGGGGCGGACGGACTTTCGGTCGCCGCACTCCTTGCCCGAAAACGTCCTCTGATCCGCCCACTCAAACATCTACAGTGTTTCCTCCTCCGACCGAGTCGCTACCCTCCGGGCCAAGCGTGCTTCCAACATTTTGGGGACACACTTGCACGCACACAAGGAGGCCATTGATTAAAATGGACCGGTGAGGACATTAGGAGGTGCTTGATCAGAGACCGGAAGGATCCTGATCTGGAGCAACTACAACCACAAAAACAACAACCCTGGCGAGAACTAGACAACGCTTACCGAAGCCGCGGCAGCAGACGTTCGACAAGCCTCGACCTTGTCCCGGAGAGAGGCCTCCGCACCCCCGCCGCTAAGACCGCTGCACTTAAACAGCGCCGAGTCGTCGTCGTCGTCGTCGAAGTCGTCCACCTGTGGAGGGGTTTCAGAAACCTAGCGGGCGGGAAGCGAACGAACGCCATGCGGCGGCGGCGGCGGCGGGTCGTGGCAGTGGCAGCGAGATAAGCAAGCGGCAGCTTCAGCGGCAGCACGAGCAGGAAGTGAAGAACAAGCGCAGACTACAAACCCACCCATCAACATAAAAAAACACACACACAGCATTAATCCGGAAAGCAGTAGCATAGCCTCCCTCATGACCCCCCCCCGATGGGGTCCCAGACAATGGCCTGTACAAGTATCTTGTGTTTTCAACCGAAGTGAGACTGACGCCTTTTCATTGGCCAGCCAGTTTTCGCTGTCGATGCGAAAATCAAGGGTAAAGACAGAGGTCTCGAATCAAAGAGGCAAACACTGCACACAACGGCACGTGAACACACACACAAAAATACAACGGGCTCTTGTCTGGGGAAGAGACGGATTCGTTGCATTCTTAATAAGACAAATAAATTAAAAAAGATGACGCGAACCAAAACAAAAAAAAAAATGCTGTACCCACCACGTCGAAGGTCTCGAAGTCAGGAAACAGCGTCGACTGTACCACGCGCCTAGCCCGCCGTGCCGCCTCCTCGGGCCAAACCAGCGGAACCCCCACCGCCCCTCCCTCATCTCCCGTCGCCCCTCCCTCATCTCCCGTCGCCCCCGCCGCCTCCTCGCCCCCCTTTTTCTTCTCCTTCCCGGAGCCAAGCGAGTCCGTCTTGGAGGTGCCCCCTCCCCCCCCTTCTTCGGCCGTGGAGGGGTCCGGCGCCTGCGGCGGGGGCCACGTGATATCATCGTGGTCCAAGTCCACGTGCACAGACTGCGTGTGTAGGCGACACACGCATGAGGTGTGCGAGGGAGGGCGTAGCGAATGGGTTCGTGTTATGGCGGGGTCCCGACAGGTGGTCATGAGGGTTGGGGGTGGGGAGGCAGTGGTTACCTCGCCAAGGTGCCAGCTCCATGTGCGCCTACCACCCATTGTACTGATATACTTGGAGGAACTGCTGAGAATAATCTATCGGCTGTCATTTCAGGAGTGTAGAGGCAGACGGAGGGAGAGGGGAGGATTCCCTTTCCTTGAAGAAAGGAATTGCCAAAACGCACCTGTTTCACGATGCACCTGACGACCTCGAGCAACGCTGGGCTAGGCTGTGTGGTGGCTATGCCCGATGCCCCCGCCTGTTCTCACCGCCCCAACGCATCCGCGCCAGGCAAGGCGCGGACACGTTAGCACAACACACGTGGGCATACGACAATACAGAGAAGGTTTGGGTTAGGGTCATACGGAAACCGCGGTGACCATGGTCAAAAGGCACGAAAAACAACAGCCTCGTCTGCAACAAAAATTCGGACGGGGCGCCGCAATATCGCAAGCGCATCAACCTAAACTAACACAGACAAAAACAAGCGAAAAAGCACGGCACCATCCAACAATGAAGTGCAGACAAAAACAGACAACAACGACGGCATGCGTCGCCGAACGCATCACACCATCCACCAGACAAACACACAAGAAAGGTCGAACGACGACACGCACGCGTCGCCGTGAAAAAACGTCCACCAGTGACAACAACCAACCAAACACACCTCCTCCTCTGCTCCCTCCGGCACCATGCACGGCTCCGAGGAGGCCACCCCCCACACCACGCCCTTCCCGCTACCACCGCCGTTTCGCATCGCCATGCGCACGAGCTCCCCGTCAAGCCCCACCAGAAACGGGGTCGCTCGAACGCGGGGGGTAGGGGGGGGTCCGCCCCCGCCCCCCGGGCTTCCGCGGCCGCCCCGTCCGCTGGCCCCCCAGCTCCCGGGCGTTATTCGGGGAGGGCTCCCGGACCGCCCGTGGTTTAGCGCAGTTTTCTTGTCCAGAGCGACCTTAGACCTCCAGAAGGAAACGACCTGCGTTTGGTGGCAAGAGTATGCACAATGCACATAGGCGGCAGTGGGTGCCCGCACCCATTCATGGGGGGGGGAGTGGGGGGTACTCATATCGATGTGTGCTCAATCGTTGGACAATAGAGAGCGACCTATTGGATCTCCAGAAGCTAACGACCTGCGTGTGTCGGAGGTATATGTACATAGAGCTGCGGCGGGTGCGCCAGAGGCGACAATGAGCATCTCCCCAACTTACACACAAAAAAAAAACGCCAAAGCGAAGAGTGCACCCATCACCGGATGGTGATGCACTGACTGCATCCACATATCGAACCGATAGTTGGTTTCAGAGACAAATTCGGTAACAATCAATCACATGCGTGTTCTCATTCAACATAATGGTGTTTGCTCTTTACTACTGAAGTATTGTCGGTATTGAGAGCGTTCATATTCGGTAGAATCAATGGCCTCTTTATGTGCGACTTCATTTGATGCATCGTGTTTTGCTCTGAAAATTGATGTCGGTTCTGGGAACAGACATCAAATCGAAATCACCTCAGCAGCCGGCAACAGCGGTGCGTACGCGTGGTGCCAGTCCAACGGGTGCAGCAGCGCTTTCAGGGACGACACCGCCAACGACAGCAAGCTCCGGACGCTGCAGGTCACCAGCACCGGTCGCTCGCACATCAGGGCGGACAACGCCAGCAGCACGTTGTCAGAGCTCAGCGCCTGAGAGATGTTCGTCACAGCAGTAGGTAGTGTCGGAGAGTACGCGCAGGCAGAGCACGATCGTGAAGATTGATGTGGGCGGAGAAGGCGGGGCGCTGGGAGACGGGGTGTGAACCACGCGATTTGTGTCGGTTCAGCTCTGCTACGCGAAGCGGGAGGACTGAGTGACGACAGTTTTCGGGGGATCAAAGGCAAACGTGGGGCCTCATCGTCACGTCAATAGACCCACAGCCGAGTACCAGCTTTTAGACAGAACACGTGAACAAAGTAAGTGCAGGGCTACGCAGCCAACGCATCCTCATCGGAACGTCCTAAAATCAATGCAACCACTGAAAGTAGCCATGCCAGCAACCAGCAACGGGATAAACGCGTGCGATCTCTCATCTCCGACAAGCATAGCTGGGAGGCAGATGGTAGAGCTCCAGCGGGAAGCATGCGGGCAAAAAATCGGAGCGGTTGTACCTACAGGTGGCAAACACATCCAACCCTCTCACAGCCTTCTACCGCCACGCTCCCAAGCCATCCCCCTGTCCCCACAGGGCTCTCGAAAACACGGCATGTCACTCCGCCCCGACATGGTAGGGATGAGAGGTCTGAATACTATGGCATGCATTTACATTAGTACACCCCCCCACCTGGAACAACGGCTCAACCGGATGATCCAGAGGCACCAGCGGCGGCAGCCCGAAGGCCGACAAGCCCCCGGCGATGCGGTCCCCGCTCCCGCCCCCGATAGCCCCGCCGCCGCCACCGCCGTTGCCACCCCCCCGCCACGGCCCTTCCTCCCCAGTCGAATACCCTCCTTCCCCCGTGAAAGACCAGCCCCCCATCGAGTCCGGCGCCGAGTTCGACTGCACGAGGGGGGGGGGATTCCTCAACATCCCAGTCGCGTCGCCCCCTGCCTCTCGAGAGAGCGACGGCGCGAACAACGACGGCAGCGTCGGGCCCGGGTTCGGCGGCGGTGGGGGGAGGATCGGCAGCGGCGGCCGCCCGGCCTTGAGCGTGGCGGCGTCCCCGAGCCCCCACTCCAGCCGCATCCCCGCCTTCTCCCCGGCGGCGGCGGCGGCGGCGGCGGCGGCGGCTCCTCCGGCCGCTGTGGCCAGGCTCTGGCCACCGCCGCTGCTGCTACTGCTAAGATGATGATCCCGCTGAGCTGCCGCTGACAGCTCTACACCACCTCCTCCCCGCCCGACCATGAGCGCTCTGGCGGTCTCCGGGTGTCCCCCGCGGGCGAGGGCTACCGCGCGGAGTGTGTCGAAGAGAGGGTCGAACGACAGCGCGCAGACGCACCTAGGAACGTACGCGGTTGTCTTCGCCCTGGTTCCGTCCTCCTCGTCATCGTCGTCACTATCGCGGCCCCAAAGGTCGCCTTCGTCGTCTTCGTCGCTGTCCGCCTTGCGCCAGACCGTCAGACAGGCGCCGTGGAGGACGATGTTGCTGTCGCGGTCTATCGCCGCGGGGAAAGTGCCTTGCGTCGCCTTCGCGATGGCCCACCGCCGCTCCGACTCCTGCAGGTTCACGCCTACACGGGGGCGTTACACGCAGAACACGGGGGGAGGGGTTGGGAGGTGCTGGCAAGCGGGGCCGGGGGCTCATCACCCAAAATACTGAGGAGACTCATAACACGAGAGTTGAGTGTGATGAGAGGTCAACTATCCTCGATAGACGTTGGGGGGGAGTGGCTCATTCTTAAGGTACGTGTTGCGTGAAGCCAAAATCCTAGCTTGGAAACCCTCAAGATGAAAACAAGGGAGGATACAAACAGCGAGGTCCTGGCAGGAAACGTCCCTTCACAAGATCTGACGCTACCCGTCCACCCAGAGCTGCAAATCCTCTGTGTTCAATCAAAGCTCGTACAAATGGACGTCTCAGTCAGCCAGCCGGGGCTTTCGACGACAAACGTTTCCTATTCGAATCACAGCTTTACAGCTTTTCACAAGGACGCCGAAAGCCAGTCATCGATGGCAACATATCCTGTTCGAACTACAGCTTTCACAGAAGGACGTCTAAAGCCAGCCTGCCCTCTCTCGGTGCCAACACGCCCTGTTCGAACCACAGCGCACACACAAGGACGTCCGCAATTCCGATGGCGACACGTCCGTCCTACCTTTCCGACTGCCGTCACCCCCGCCGCCGCCGCCGCCGCCGCCGCCGCCGCCAGTGCTGCCGGCGCCCTCTCGCCTCCCCCTCCGGCGCCCCTCTTCCCCCCCCCCCCTTCCCGTC